ACACGCACACACACACACACACACACACACACACACACACACACACACACACACACACACACACACACACACACACACACACACACATTGTTTCTTTTCAGCATCTCTTCTCATCAAATTTCCATATTAATGATTAATGAAAGCCAAAAAATGCGTTATCTCTCAGCTTGCGTTATCTGCTTGCAGGACGTTGTGGCCACTGTAACTACCCACAGCACGAACAAAACTGCAACGTCTGCCGTCTGTACAGACGCTACTTTGGCCGTCATTTCTTGGGATACCAGATTCCTCCCTCTCCGCAGCAGCAGGAGCAGAGCCTGCGGCGTCAGCAGGGCAAAGGTCACCGAAGATCAGGTGTTAAGGTGAGTGTATTGGATGCTGAGCCATCCAGCATGAGTGAGGCATGTCACTTGTGTAGACAGCAGGTGGTACGTGTGCGTGTTACTAGTGTTAAAGGGTTAAGTGGGATTTTTCAGGCTGAGCACGAATTGTGATGCTAAAATTTGAAAATGGCGAGTTTTTATTTTATATAAACGGCTCCCAAAATTGTTTAAGAATGGTTTCTCTAAAAAACTCATTCGTCAAAATTAGTGGTGCGTGAATTCCTTATAGAATTGCTTGAAGAGTAGTGGTGATTAAAATTGCATTCATGTGCATCCTGTCATATGTGTCTCACTTGCAATTATTCCTTTATACCTGAGAAAAAGTAAGTGTGCGTTGAATGTAAAAACAATCATCTAATAGCATCAGAGCAATTAGCAGGTCGCTATTGCCACTCTTCTTTATTCGTCCCCCTGGAGCATCCTTTCCAATTAAACATCCACACAAGCGTCCACGTGAACTTTATTGTCAACGCTGGTACCCGAGGTCAGGTGTTGAAAAGAGCAACTAGATAAGCATCTGCTTGTAGCAGCAGACCCCGCGTAACACCTGTTCCCCTCCCCCGCCCAGGTGTGGTAGTGAGAGAGACAGATTGCCCGCGGGCCGTGAAATGCCATAGTCAATCGGACTGAGTTCGGGCAGGCATCTGTTAACGTGGTCGTACTAGATGACAATCTCTCGTCGTTCCTTTGTTTGTGGACGCCGGTGCGCGCGCGTGTGTGCGTGTGTGTGTGTGTGCGTGTGCAATAGGGGGCGGGCCGGCAAGCGCAAAATTCAGACGCCGCTCACGCAAATTTCCTTGATTGCCTATTACTGCTGACGGGTCAGGCTATGCCGCAACATGCGAATGCTATATTAGCGAATGTAAGCGTGCCTAACATGCTGTAGGATACCTGCTTGATGTGTGTGTATGTGTGTATGTGCGTGCGTGCGTTTGTGCGTGTGTACGTGTGTGCGTGTGCGTGTGCGTGCGTGCGCGTGTACGTGTGTGTGCGTGTGTGCGTGTGTGCGTGTGCGTGCGTGCGCGTGTACGTGTCTGTGTGTATGTGTGTATGTGCGTGCGTGCGTGTGTGTGGCATTACAGTGCTCTACTTGTGTTGCCCATGTGCAGGTTTTTATCCTCACGCAATAGATTGACAGCATTGCTTATTTTATTATTTATAAGGGAAGGATCGCAATATTTTCTCTTTAGTATTAGTTTATTAGTTTAGTACTATCTTGCTTAGACAAAGCTCGCTTTGACATATAGCGAGTTCGCAGGGTGTTTCTTCTGCGTGAATTCTGACATGTGCCATTAGGTGTCTTGCCTCAGAGGTTTTGATGTTTTATAAGACTTTCTCGCTCGGAGAAATCCAATTCACATAGGATAAAATTATAGGGGTTCTCTCCAGTGTGAGTTATAAGGCATTCCATTCGATATTCCTTCGCAAAGAAAGTTGTTTGACATGCGTCACATTTCTCCAGCATGTATGTATGTATAACTGTGATGTATGGGGGTGTTGAGTGTCCTGCCTCAGAGAGAACTGTAGCTATATATAGGCCATATCTACACATTTGTAGGGTTTCTCACCTGTGTGAGATCTGATATGTGCTATGAGGTTTCTTCTTGTGCAAAAAGCTGTTTTTGATATGACACAATAGTAGGAGTTCACTTCAGTATGGGTTCACAAGTGTTCATTCAGACCTTCATACAGTCAAAAGGCCCATTCACGTATTTCACATTTGTATAGTCTTTTTCCAGTGTCAGTTTCATTGTGTTTCTCCACGTTTCCTCCTAAAGTAAAATTGTAGCACACTGATCATTACTAATACTAGTAGAACTTAGGGGTAGGCTTCTCTCCCGTGTGATTTTGGAGATTTGTGGTGCGAATAATACCTGGAAATCTACGAAGCCTGCTTTACATTTTCATATGGCTCATTTTTGATGTCTAAACCCTAGCGTGAAATATAGAAATGGCGAGCTACGTGGCAATGTGTCAGGAGATACTCGCAATGGAACGCATGTTTACTACGAACAGCCACAAATAATACACACCACAGAAAACTCCAGTTATGAGAATTATAACGCGACCTCGTAGCCAATGTTTCCATGCACTCTAAATGCCCTGTACTATTTCGTACCTTCCATATTACTCACTCGTAACACCAGCTACTGTACGGTAGCACATTGCCATTCCTGCACAGTGGTACTTTGTAATACACTTCTAACACAATAGTCTATAAACGGTTATAGGGGTTTCTCACGGTGATATCACAACTATAGCGTTTATTATTAATGTTGATATTATTGGTCAAGCTGTTGGTCTGGTGACCGAGATATACAGTGTGATTTAATCAAAGATTGCACGCACTCAAGATATATATATATTTATATATATATATATATATATATATATATATATATGCTAAAATATATAACGTTAGATAAAAGTCTAGATACATATTTAATTAAAGCATTATAGGAATCTATGGTGGTCAGTTGTGTCTTCTATTTTGTCTTACAGGTTAAGCGGGAAAAATCACAGTCGACTGTACGAAGCTCTATTTCAGCATCTGGCATCTCAGGTGAGATATTCAGCATCTCAGGTTAGATATTTAGCATCTCAGGTGAGATATTTAGCATCTCAGGTGAGATATTTAACATCTCAGGTGAGATATTTAACATCTCAGGTGAGATATTTAGCATTTTATGTGAGATATTCAGCATCTCAGGTGAGATATTTAACATCTCAGGTGAGATATTCAACATCTCAGGTGAGATATTCAACATCCCAGGTGAGATATTCAGCATGTCAGGAGATATTCAGCATTTCGGGTTAGAGATTCAGCATCAGGTGGTATGGGGCCTGCCTGTGGTACGTTGACCCACCCTCCCTCGCTAATGCAATAATTGTGTGTGGGAGGTGTAGCTACACATGCAATCATCATCCGTCCACATAATTAGCCTCATTAACTAGTCTCGATGGCCTAATTGCTAGCATTCAGAACTTTGGGCGTAAAGGTCTAGCTAGGTCCATGCAGTCTCGCTTCGGTCACTGCTGTGGAGGCCTTTATACAAGCAAAGCACTTTATACTAATTTCCTTCATTCGCACTTAGGAAATGGCTTTTGAGTGCCTTTGTAGGGCTATAACAACCTCAGCCACGTAAAAACGAGTAACTTTGCTGCACGAAGCGTGTTACGATAACCAAAGCAACACAGTTGTGGGGGCCGTGCCCCCCGAATGGGGCCAAAATGACAAAATAATGATTTGCACTCTCGAGGCACTGCACTCGCGAGGCAGGGTGGTGTACTCATATACAAGCGTGGTTCTAGTTAAGCTGAGTAACGTATAATTATTTTGGCCATGAGTCATCGGTCACTAGCCGGTTGTTGGTGGTAAGCGATTCATAATAGTCCCATTGATTAGTAAGTCCAGTAATGTAGCCGTTGATTAACCTGCAGTAGGACAATAGGAGATTTGTTTATACCAGGCTGTCCACGTTAGGCAGCGTTAGTTGTTTGGTTACGAGTGATGTGCGATTGGGTGCGTGAGCGTCAATGATTACTGTTCTCCTAGTCATGCAGCCTGGCACATCTGTCACGTCGACGCATGAGTGAACGAATGGGAGAAAGAGAAAGGGAGAAAGAAAGAGAGAGAGAGAGAGAGAGAGAGAGAGAGAGAGAGAGAGAGAGAGAGAGAGAGAGAGAGAGAGAGAGAGAGAGAGAGAGAGAGAGAGAGAGAGAGAGAGAGAGAGAGAGAGAGAGAGAGAGAGAGAGAGAGAGAGAGAGAGAGAGAGAGAGAGAGAGAGAGAGAGAGAGAGAGAGAGAGAGAGAGAGAGTAGTAGTAGTAGTAGTAGTAAGTAAGTAAGTAAGTAAGTAAGTAAGTAAGTAAGTAAGTAAGTAAGTAAGTAAGTAAGTAAGTAAGTAAGTAAGTAAGTAAGTAAGTAAGTAAGTAAGTAAGTAAGTAAGTAAGTAA